GGTTGTTTGTGTGTATTGTAATATTTCTTATATTTGTTGGAATTATATTATTTTTAATTTTCACTTAGTAAGCACACACTTAACTGTTTGTATACACTATCATAAATTGGCTTTGGTTACTGAGACTTTTGAGTCTCATTATGTGGTTAACAATTTTCAGGAGAAGAGCCACGAGTGACACGTGGAGGAGTCCTAGAGGCTTAGTGGTATAGATCCACTGTCTCTTTTGGGTATTTAATTTATGATTTATAATGTGTTATATTGCCAATATTAGGGCTTTTTGTTTATTGTCAATTATATGAATATATAAATGTAATCATGCCTTTCAAACTATTTCTATTTTTGGTACAATTTGGATAACTATAATTTTAATATTTGGTTTACTTTGGATTGGTTAAAATGGCATGATTATAAGACTAAATAACTGGCTTGTGTTGAAAATTGACTAAATTGCTTATTTTACTTGTTGGAGTATAAGGATGGACAAATGTGATTTAGTTTACTTGTTGGGAGTATAAGGATGGACAAATGTGATTTAGTCTAATGGCATGTGGGAGGTAAAAATTTATCTGAAATGTTATAGTGTGTGAGTTGAAGCCAATTATAAAATATTTTATATCGAAATTATTGATATAAAAATGTGTTGGGTGGCTGTAACCCAACTATGGTTGAGTTAAATTATAAAAAAAAAAATTGGTGTGTTACAATTCGCGAGATGAAGCGCGAGATCAACTGAGTGTCACAAGTCACTTGTAACGCCTTCTATATGATTTACGATGAAAAATGGGAGCAAATAATGGGGAGGGTAGAGATGCGTCACAACAACAATTCTATGAAATTGGATTAATTCCATAATGATGAAGATAGAATTGGATTCTAGTAATTTTGTTGAAATTGCAAGTCTAAATAATCTCAATTATAGACTACCAAACACATTCAAACTCAAATTTCATTTTCATTTCCATTTTAAAATTCATGATTCATGAATACCAAGCAAAGCTTAAGAGGTCATGACAAAATATAAAAAATATGTGGTGTGTGTTAACATAGTCAAGTAAGTCAAAAATAAAATTTTACTTTCCACCTCAAATGATCAGGCAAGGACCAAAACAAGCACGACTAACGATAGTGAACACATTAGGTTGCATTAGGTAGAATGTATACGGTCAGCAGTTAGCAGTCACACCACGAGAAGCAGTCTCCCTCATCTTATGATAAAATCAATTAATTGCCACAATAATCAATCATCACAAAACATGGTTGTTGGGCCAAAAAATCGATTAATTTCAATATCCAAATGCACCATGAGTATATGTTTGGATTACTTTTTAAAGTAATGATTCAAAAAAAAATTTCCATTTTTTGCTTTCCTGATTTATTTTACAAAATTATTTAAAAAAAAAACAGGAAAGAGAATCACACAAGTTCTTGATATCTATGGGCATAATGTTACTAACATGAACTTTCATCAATATGTTGTCTCAGCTTAGATCATGTCCCTTGTTAATTTCTTTTATTTTTCTTTTCTTTTTCTGGGATACAAAGCCATGGTACAAAAAAACACTCTGCAAATAAAAAGAATCTTCACATATAAATAATCAAAATATTCCCGTATCCTTAAAAAGGAGTGTTATGAATGCCAAACGTAAAATTCACAAGATGAAAATCGTGAACAAGCTAGTTAGTACACTTGCTCATTATCTAAGGCATACTTTTTTTTTTAATTTTTATTATAAATCACTTTCAACTATCTCATTAGAATAAAGAAAGAAAAAGAAGAAAGATGGCCAACTCATTGATTATATCTTAAATAAAAAAAATCAACTTTACCTCGTTAAAGAAATAGAAACACACTATTCGAGGAATCATGTAAAAAAGCTAAATTAGAATTAAAATTGCTTTTTATGATTTATAATAGGGATAAAATTAAACCATGTTAATAATCCTGTATGCAACTCATATTAAAGACTAAATCATTCTTGGCCTTGTAAAATAAAGACCATGCATACATATTAAAGACTAAATCATTCTTCTAAACAGCGCCTTGTAAAATAAAGACCAAATGGAGCAATCAAAAGCATTGAATTACGCATGATTATTAATTTTCTAACATCCTTAACAACACCAGCCAGCGGATTATTCAAAAAATGATCCCACTAGACAACAGTGGACACACATACAGCGCCCTCAACTTGAAAACATTTACAAAGAGTAGATGGAACTTTTATAAATTTGTCCTCATTGCCTCAATAGTCGTGAACCCACTGAACGTAGATTAAAATATATTTGAGTTTAAAAGAATTGGATTTTTTATATTTAACTTAAACTCAATAGGTTTTAAATTTTGATTTCATTATATTTAAAATATAGATTATTTCTATAAAAATATCATTTATATTTTCATCTTTTAATATTATTTTATAAAGCTAAATATTTATTATATATATTAAATGATTTTTTTATTTTTACATTTTATATAATTTACGCCCTCACTAACTTGCGGTCACGTGTTTGTCACTGCTACTGGACAAGGACGTTGATAATTTCCATTGGTTCAGTTGTAGCAAGTGGGCAAAGGTTTAATCTGGTGTTAAAACCTTCTTTCAGTTCAATTTATAAATTATTTTTAACTATTTTTATCAAAATTAATTAAAAATAGTTAAATTATTGATGTCATCTAAAAAAAATGAGACTTTTTAATTTACCTTTATTTGATCATAATTTTTAAAAACACTTTTCTATCGCATGCAATTTTTTAATCTCTACTCATCAAAAACTGTAAAGAGATAAAAGTGAGATAAAGTAATTAATCATTCATCCTTTTATATAAATTAGTAAATAAAAATGACCACAAATTCTTTATATAATGTGTTTTATAGTATATAAGAGTGGAAGAATATATATTATTCACCTTGATCTAGTGTCATTTATAATTTCAAACCAATTACTCACTCATTTGTATCTTATAGAGTTGACTATATCTAATTCATACTTATTATCATTATGTTGGGTTCATGATTGATTTTGGCATATCCAAAAATATTTGGATATTAAAAAAAATCATGAATTTATGTTCATGATTAATGTTAACATGTATGATATGTGTTTAGATGTTTTTAAAATATTATAATTGATTTTAAAATGCAATAGCCTAATAGAAATGTTTGAACGTACCTTCACAAAATCATGATTTTAGGTTCTAAAATTGATTCTCACATTTATCCAAACCAGCACCTAGTCTTACTATGCCAATGACCTTTTTGTCTGGTGGGAGAATCATCCAGGCCGTTTGGTTAGTTGTTGAAGATGCTTGACACACGTTCACATGCAATTCCTCGTGACTTACTATTACGAGGGAGAGAGAATGATATTTTACGTTTTATTTGTAAATCATGTTAATAAATGTTTATCATAAATTTATTATTTTACTCTATATTAAATATTAGCTGAGAAAAATATATTATTAAAATATATATTTAAATTTCTTCTTAATTCTAATAAAATATATTAAAAATAATATATAAATAAGATCAAAGAGAATAATATTGTTCTTCACAAAATAATAAATACCAGACATGTTAAAATGTTGAGTCTCAAATGTAACAATAGGATTCTTGAGCTCCCTCGTCTTATTTTACCCGAATGTAAAGATGCAAAGAGATTAAAATAAGAAGTGTTTTGAATTAATGGGAAAGCAAAATACAAAGTTGCATTTTTTACAATTTGAAATTGAAGATAATTCTACTTAAATTGGGAATACAAAGTAAATAATTTGGAAAGCAAAAAATGGGTTCTAATGAATAATGATAACGATGCTGTTGATGCCAATGATGCTCTTCCTTGAAGTCTTTTATTAAGTGCTCGTATGAGGTTGTTATGCCGGTAAGATTAGAAGACCTTGCACAAAATACTAGTGATCATTTAGTATAGTCTTATAAGATTCATAACACGTCAGATAACAATGTTATGTCCACTCAACAATACTTAATGTCCAGTCACTCTAAATTTTGAGAGTCAAGCTAAATATGTGCATGACACACTTATTTTTAATAATGGAGCAAGCTCTTTTTATTATTTAGACCTATCGTTTTAATTTTCCTCCTCTTTTGTGATTTTGGGCTGGGGTTTCATTTTAGGCCCAAGAAAGTATTTCATAAGAATGCAAAAAACAGTTCTTACAAAATGTCAATTTTAAACATGCACAAACAAATATTGGCCAAAAAGTTAAAAAAAAAACTAAATTGATTTAGAAAAATTAAGTAATGTTCAAAATTCAAATAACATTTTTCACTGTGAGCATCAATTTACCACCAATTTACATTTTCCAATGCAAAAATCCCCCCGGGAGCGTACTCTGCAATGAATGACTTTTTTGTTTTGTTTTATTTTTTAATTAAAGTTGATACATTAAAAAAATAAACTTGTAAACTTGATCAACCAGAGATCTGTTCAGTTTTAGTTATATAAAAGAGAACTGCTTATTTTTTTTTTTAAAAAAATCGATATTACAAAATAAAAACTAGATCTTTACAATATAGCCATTCTAATTACATTACTAGAGGGATGACACATCAAGCCAAAGACACATGTAGAGGGGGGCAAGTGCCACTCTTTTTTTTTGGGGGGGGGGGGGAATTTTTACTCGCTAGAGATATTAAAATAGATTTTGACACTCTAACTTTATGTTATATTTTCAGTTTTGTCCCCCAATATATTGGTTTCTGGATTTGTTACTGCATCAAACAAAACAAAAATTATATACTCATCCCGCGAGCAAGAGGATCGCAGGAGAGGAATTGCCAGAAGCAGCAGCAAAAGTGTCCGTTGTTACGTTACGGTCATGGAAGAACGTGAAGTTGAACTAAATACATATAATATAACATAATATGAGAACAGAAGAAAATATGACCGTTGGACCCTCCGTGAGATGATGAGATGTAACCGTTGAGATCTCAGGCGTTCCGCAACAACTTCCATTATTATTTTCCTCATCCTCATCTCATTTTCCATATCCAAACTATCGTCAATTACTTTCAATCTGCTCTCTGCAACATCTCATCATCTGCTGAATTTATTTTCATTGTTCATGCTCTCTTATTGACTAATTTCATTTTACATTTTACATTTTACAAGTTCTCTCTGCTACTTCTAATAATATCTGTCTCCGTTGAGTATTGATCATTTTAGCTGTTATACTCTTGTAAATTATCTGCATTTGAATCTAGAAAGCAATGGCGGAATCCAAAGACTCACACATTGTGGAAATCCCAGTGGACTCGGAGCATGAGCAGAAGAAACTCCTCCCTTCTATTTCTAACATTGTCGAAGCGATCGAAGACCATCCACTTACCGAGATCTCTGAAAGCCCAGGCCACCTCTTGCTTCTGAAACTCTGGCAGAGAGAAGAGGAGATCTTCGGGCGCAGAATCGCTCACAAAGAACTCCGAATGGACTCCATCAAGCGCGATCTCTTCCAACTCTCATCCTTCTTCTTCATCTTCCACTTCCTCTTCTTCACATTGCTATTCTCATCCTCCGTCAATACCTCGGACGACGGATCGCGTGGGAAATGGTGGATTCCGTCGGTGATATCCGCGGCGACGTCGGCGGTGTTTGTAGTTCTGGTTCAGGTGAAGGTGAACGCGTACTGGAGAGTGTGGAGGGAGGTGAAGAGAGAGAGGGAAGGGAGTCGAGGAGTGACGAGGTGCGTTCAGGAGCTGAGGATGAAGGGCGCGAGCTTCGACCTGTCGAAGGAGCCGAATCAGAGTGGCGGGAAAAAGATGAAGAGCTCGAGTGTGGAGATCAACTGGAAGCCATGGAGTTGGTGTTGTAAGAATTTGCTAACTATTTGTATTGTTTGCTTTTCAGGCCTCGCCGTCCCTGCTTCCAAGTTCGTCCTCTGTGGCCTCTGATTCTGCTCCCGGAACCTTTCTATGCTCAACACTGAACAATGGTAATTTTTCTTTACACATATACAAGGCTAAATTTTTCAATGACAAGTCTAAATTAAGAAAGGCATTATGCTATCAGAGTTGATTTAACTCAATTCCTGTCGAAAATGGATAGGGATGAAGCATTTTGGGTCCGATTAAGCAAAATTTACCCATTTGGGAGTCGCTGCAACGAGCGAAGAAGATATGATGGAAGGCTTTTTCAGATTTGGGTGCATTAATGGACGCATCAAATATTGAAGAAGACGGCTGAATCATATGATTCTGACTTTCTGAGAGGCAAGCATCAAGTATTGAAGGATATGGCCGAAGGAAATGTGAGAAGAAAGACATTTCTCTCTTCTTGGCCTGAATGTGAAAACAGAGATCACTATCACTAATTTTAATAATTTCTGAGGTTATAAGCTTCGCAGAAAACAGTGAATTGTGAATCCGTGGCTGAAGCTAAGTTCCGGATTGCTAAAATGATGAAGGCATGCCACACTTCTTGTGTGCTGGGTCTTTTAGAGGCAAAATTGTAGCTCACTATGGAATATTATGAAACAGAAGCTAAGGATTACTCTAATTATCTTGGCTATTAAATTTTTCAGCTAGTTCTTATAAATATTTTTCAGCAAAGATAAATATTGTCAAGTTGAAGCTTTCATATATATATATATATATACTTTCATATATATATATATATATATATACATATATATTTTTGGTTGTTGCTAACTTTAAGCTCTCGTCTTATTGTTGCTGCTAATTTTTTTTTTTTTTTCAGTTCGTAGTCCTAAGAAAATATCTCAAGCTTAGCACGTTTGAAACGGAAATAAAATTAATATCTCAAATGTGTTTGAAGATAAAAAACTTGGCACCCTAGATACGGAAATAAAATTAATGTCTCAGTGTTTCAAGATCAAATAATGTCAGTAATAGCGGGCTGGCATGCTAGAGAAAGAAAATTAACATTTTCAAGTATTGAATATCAAACTTAAATTTGATTCGCTATTAACAGACAAGTAACGAGTTTGACAAAAAAATCAGACGAGTAATGAGCGTGACTCTCACTTGCTTGCCCTCTTAAAAAGAAAATTCATTTCTATTGTTGAAGGGCAACATAACCTAATGACGCCTCCTATTAAACTGCATCTAATTGGCTCCCATAGCGCGTTTATATCTTCATTTTTTTTAACCTTTACTAAATTTGTCTTAATAACACTGAAGAAAATTGGATTCTCAAATCCTAAAGTGAGACAATTGGTATTCACTTTTAGCATTATGAAAGAGGCCAAATTACAATAATTTTTTTTAAAAAGCCCCCTAATAAAGTTAAGAAAATGATGAATACAAGTCAAGTCATGCATGCAAAGACTTGAGACTTGTCCTACAAGGTAATTTTGTCTCCTAAAAATATAACAGGAGAGTATATCTTAATAACACTGTCTCGTGCAAAAGCAAGTTGTTTACTTGTTTTTCTTCCGGTTTTTTTTTTTTTTTGTTGGAACTATATTTGGTTCGTCATTAACCCGCGAATTCAACGTCGATCAAGCTCTCAACCTCGTCTTGACAAAAAGAAAAAAAGGTCAAAAGCAAAGGCTTGAATAATTTACTATTGTCGCTCGCGGTGCCTTGAGTTAAAATAAAAACAGTAGCAGATTCCACAATTACAATTACAATGACCCAATGTTAAGTAACACTGCAACTGTAAGACAAGAAAACAGCTAAACATAAGCCTCAGGTAAGTACTAGGCACTGTCAAAGCCAAAAATTCGGAAAACACCTGCAAAAACAAAATGCAAAGAAGTTAACTAATTCTAGCCTTCTTGTGAATCCTGGGTTTCTAACGAAGCCTGGTAACATGTCCAGAAAAACTTACCTTCATCAGCTTGATACTTGTTTTTGTCATCACCAGCATATGCAAGCAAATTGTACTTCGGATTCCATTCCACGCTGTTCATAGCCGCCCTACATGGAATCTGATGCACTGTTCGTCCCGTATGCACGTTCGACTGTTTCAAAAGGAGAAACAGTTTGTCTAAGGATGTCGTAGGAATTCTGGTGTGCATGTTCCAAGCCTGGTAAGCCAGCCTGTGAACAGCTCTAGTCAGGTTCAGGTACACTTACTATATCAATGAACAAGTCTTCACTGGCAGAAGCAATATATTCACCAGTATGATTGAAACTAATTGTCCTCACAGGCCACCTGAGGAACACAAACAGAAAATCATTTCAAATCAGTCATTACAAGCTATAACCAAAAAAAAAAAAAAAACACACAAGATGAGCTAACATATGAACATGAAAATCCAGGGAAACTCACTCGAGCTTGGTGAAGGTACGCACACAGAGCATCTCAGAGATATCCCAGAGGCTAACTAGGGAATCTGCACTTCCAACGGCAAAATATCTGCCTCGGTAACATGAGGGTACTACTTGAGTATACTTTTTCAAGTTTGTTATTTTTTATGAATAATTTGTATTCTATTGAAGCAAAAGAAGACAGAAACCTAAAATGCAACACAGGTTAGTTTTAAGAATCAGCTATGAAGCTATACTTGACTCTTAACTTGACAATCCAAGTACGATTAACAAGATCACAAATAGAAGAAGCATACCTTCCTACTGGATCGATAGCAATGCAATAACAACCAGCTGTATGGGCCATGAGGGTATCCATAGGCTGCAGAGATGGGTAAGCCAGTACTTCAACAGTCCCTAAATTGGAGAACAAGCTATGGAAAATGAGATTTAAATCTTGGAATTAAAAAAAAAAAAAGTATCAATTCAATCAATGATCTCACCATTTCCTGTGGTTAGAAAGAACATCTCTCCTGTCATATTCCAAGCAATCTCATTTACCTAGAAAGTTGGGGGGAAGATCAGGATTTATTTAGCATATTGGAACATATACCGAGAGTAGATAGATCAGTTGAATTCAATTCTGTTCCAAAACGCTCATCAATCACACATCTAATGAAAGGGAATACTGTGCACTTATAGTATTATTTTATCTAATCATAGATGGGTACATTTATGAACTAACAGAAATTTAAGCTTTAGTGCCGTTGGAAAAAAACAATGAACTCCTGAACAGTATCTATGGTGGATCAGTTTAAAGAAAATGGAACTCAGGAGATGAATACCAAACCAGAAAACAAGACCTAGAAAACACAGCTTGTGCAGAAAGTGAGTTGCAAGAGTTGAGGAAACTGGAGCATGATTATAATAGCAACACTCAAAAAACTTGATTGATTGACAGGCTATGCACTTAATCTTAGATAACTTTTAAAAAAAAAAATTATTAGCAAACCATACTCTTTTCCAAAATCCTTGAAACTTGAATTGATTTGGCAGTAAAAACGCAACATTCTTCTTAACAAATGCACCAGGTCTCTTGGGATGGAAGCTGCAAATCGACAATGGATTTTGATCCAATAATAAAATAAATGTAATTTGCACTATAACAAACAAGCCCATCATGAGGACTGTAATTTGAGCTCTGATTCCTGAATATCACAGAGCGGTTTTAACGGCAAGAGAATCAAAGTAATCAAGTAGATAAAATAATTTATGAATTAAATGAGTAAAGGCCAATGCTCATTCACAGTTCAAGTGAAACTACAAGAAATCATATAAAGATGAATTTATGAAAATTTCCAAGGTTCAATTTCAATAATTTACTTCAACTTAAAAGACAGACTGTCAGAAGCAACAAAAACAAAAATATAAAGCAGACAATACCTCATAATTGAACTTGCGCCTATGAATTGGTTTAAACTTCCGTACATCCAGTATTGTCAACTCATCATCCTATGAATCACAACAACAAGGTAAAGACTCAGTGTGTGTTTGGAAACCTGTTAGTCTTAGCCAAAATGTGATTTTGACCAAAGTAACGTGAGAGTAACTTTGTCTCAAAGTTGTAAAAGCCCACTTGCAACAAGAAACCAAACAAGTTATTACATACTTGATGAAAGCAAGGCAGTTATAAGAAAAAGTCTAGCCAGTAACTACTGAAGCTCAACGATTTAAGAGCAGGAAACAATTAAAAGATACTCAAGATATAGCCACCACTAAAGTGTCCACTCACAGCATCAGCATTTCAGAGCTTTCAGTGAATGAAAGGGATTGAACAACATACCCTGTTACCTACAGCTACATGAGTCCCATCAGGTTTGTAGGTGATATTAATATTCTCCCCACTAAGTTCTGCCTGTTGTGAGCACTTTCCACCTGCAGAAACCAAATGTGAGAAACATTTTGTCAAATCCTTCTTCGCACCATAATTTTACAACTAACTCAAAGGAGGAAAGTTGAAAGTGACTTCTAACTATTACAAGGACATTTTTCATGAACAAAAAACAGTGATCTTCCCCATGAAAATTTCCACAAATAAATAATAAAACCATTTGTCAACTGATTTCAATGTTTACAAAAGGTTAATTGTTAGGAAATCTTGAGATATTCAAGTGATGAAGAGCATATAACTTAAACACCTCCAAAAATATAAATGCCCAATCTAAGTTCCTCCATGGTGTGTGACAAATGAGATTAAAACTGAGTAATAACTTACTACGAGCATCCCACAAACGAACAGTCTTGTCTCCTGATGCAGTTGCAATCAGATCAGCATGTTTGGGGTCCCAACATAGCTGATCCACACTATCAGTGTGACCCTTCAATTCAATATCTTTGACCTTACCCTGAAATAAAACTCAACCCCGAAAACAAGAAAGAGAAATGAACAAATTTTCAACCACATTAAATAATGAGAAAGTAAGAATTATTTGCACTGACATTAATAGTGACAACCAAAAATATAAGAAAACCCCAGCAAAAAGGTGAAAAGGAAACAACATTAAAGTTAAAACTTAAAACATAGATGCGGTCACCCAAATCCATACATTTAAGCAAAAATATAATTCTGGACTAGTTGGCTCGGACTACATGAATCATTGAGCAAAGTAACCAAAATTCTCAGCAAGAATTCTGAATTAAATCCTACCCTAACCAAACCTCCTGCATAGTTAATTTCAAACTAGTTAGAATTACTAAGAGTGGACTTCATATTTTTCACAACCAACGAAAGTTAACATATTTATTAGTAAACTTTAAAAAGAACTTGTCCATTTTTGTCTCAGAATGTAACTTGGTTCTCTCTCCAAGCTATTGATGCCATTTCGAAGTCTTTAAGGTTTTAGCTTTTGCCTTTTTCTCTGCGTTTTTCATTGGCTCTATCCATTACACCAAACCATTGCTCTAGCGTTAAAATGAATAAATAAAAGCCTCAACGTCCAAAACTTCCATGGTTTTAACTTCCAGTGTAATCAATCATCCCGTTCCATGATAATTTGTCATGACAGTAATCCCTGCTCTTACGGTGAAGTTTCCATTATTCTTTACCAAACCCATTGATTTGATAGCTTAATTTTACTCCACAAAACAATTAGTATATTCTCATCACAATGGTTCTATTTAACATGATTGGTGGTTTTGACAATGAATTTAGATTATAATTAGAAGAAGTAGAAGAAGAGAGAGAACAAAGAAAACGGAGTGCCAAAGCTATTAATACCACATCACGATGCTGATTAGAAAATATCCTGCACACAGCTACCAGATGAGAAAGCAATAAGATCGTCCCTAGCTCTATTCTGAGCAATGCACGGTCTTAAAAAAATAAAGGAAAGAGCAAGAAGTCCAAAGGGGAGGACGTTTACATGTCCGTGTGGCTCAATATACCATATTCGAGCAGTTTGGTCCACAGAACCAGAAGCAAGTTTTGTGCCAATGCAATTCCAGGCCACTGAGTGCACCTTTCAGAAAAGGAGCAAAATACTATATCAGAATTGAGACGTAAACAGATGCAGAAAGCTACTATTACAAAAACTCAACAATAAGAAGCAGAAAAGAATGTGCCTTTGGGGTATGGCAGGTTCATCGATTACCAACAGAAGAGAGAAGGAAATACCTTCTTCTTGTGGCCCGAGTACTCTCTGCTATGGAGATTCTTAAATGGAAGCTTTTCTTCCATCGTCGAACCAGCGAATCTGGGACACCTGAGGCTTTCACAGAAATATTCCTAAAGATTGAAATTGTTATAGTGCAGGAGCAGAGTAGGGATTCTGTTATACAGGAAATTCTTCCAGCCGGAACTGAGAGGATATTTTGGTAAAGCATTTCTGAAGTTTGGATCGGAAACCAATTACGGAAGAAAGAAAGGACTATCCACCAAAAATTATTAAAAGTGAACTTCAGCTTACACGGTAAATGTAATTTGTAAAAAGGATGACAACAATGAAGTCCCAAAAAAATAAATTAATAATAATTAAATTCTTGATAATTTTTTTAAATAAATTGAAAATATTAATTTAAAAAGTTATAATTAAAAATTCAAATTATAAACTAATTGTTATAATTTATTAAATTTAAATATTATATTTGTAATTAAAATTTTTAAATTTATAATTGTTTGAGGTGATATTTATAACTGATTTTTTTAAAAAAATTTATTTAGAACTCAACTGTCATTAATTTCTTCTTTTAAAACTTAATTGTCACTCTCCATTTCTAAAACTTGTTTAAAAGGAGTACTAACTCTGTAAATGCATTAGTGTTGAGTTGGCCTCTAAGTTTAAGCTCATCTATTAGAAGCTTTTGGAAGCTCGAAACAAGTTCATCTTCAACAGATGACAACGCAAGGCTTCCAATTGACAGAAGAAGTTCGAGCTCTATTCGAGTTCACATGAACAGTGAAGATGTCTATCCAAAGCGCTCATGGATTAGGAAGAACGAATTCTACTTAGATCATTTGTTGGCGCAAACCACCTAAGGACTAGGTATCACTAAACTGTGATGCAGCTGTGAACTCACAAAGTGGCCAAGCTGGAGTTGAGTATTTGATTTGTGATTCCACTGGCGAGTGGCTCGGAGGAAGCTATTGTAATATTGGAGCATGCACATCAATACACGGGGAGCTATGGGCAATGTTCGATAGACTATCTTTGGTGTGGAATCTTGGATTTAGGAAGGTCAAGCTCGACGTGGATTGCCTAACCACTGTGAACATGTTATATCAGGAGACCACGATGCTAAATAGTCATAGCAGACTTACTTATTAGATCAATATCCTCTTATATAGGAACTGGCAAGTGGAAATTTCTCATATTTATCATGAAGGTAATAAGTGCATAGATTACCTAGCTTCCCATACTTTGACGATGGGTTATAAGATTCATGTATTGTACTCATTTCGTTTCAAATTATAGGACATTTTTAAAAAATTTTTCCATCTCAAAATATAATATACTTTAGGTGGATTAAGATTTTATTAAATGCACTAATTTTAATATTACCCTTTCTCTCTTTATAATTAATTTTTATCATTTCTCTTTTCAATGTATTAAATAATGAGTATTTTTAGAAGTTTATATTTTTATTTTAAAAAGATAAGATTGTTATGTATATTTAATGAAATTTATTGATATGTGATGTTTTATTTAAAAATATTTTATAATTTGAATGGAGGGAGTAAGAAATTTCATGTGCTATCCAGCGTTTTATGCATAATGATGCTTTGGGAATAGGGCAGTTTCGAATTTGCATGTAGTTTGTCCTTCTAGTTGTTGGTTTTTTTCCCTAAAAAAATGCAACTGCATTTTGTTGGGGAAAATTAATTCCCAGAAGTAAATTAGGAAGTTATTTATTTCTAAAAGCCTCTAATGATAAATACTTATAGTTCTACTTGTAAATTTGTATTGTTTTAATGATCAATAATAGTAAATATCATTCAACTAGTAAATTCGTATTATTTCAATGGTAAGTTCTCCTTGTTCAATTGATAGATTCATGCGAGGTAAGGAGTAAATTTGAAATTTTCAAAAAATATACAACTTATGAATTTGGTCATTGAAATAATTTTCCTCGAAATAATTTCCCCTTCTATGAAAAAAAGCTAATGTTTATAATAAAGTTTTTATATTTATTTAACTAAACAAATAAGTTGTGCAATTTGATCATTTCTTTTTTTTTAATAAAACTATAAAATAGCTTAAGAGATCTTTTTTTTTTTTTTTTTTTTTGGCAAAATAAGAAAAGATTATAACTACATAAATTGTAATATAATAATGATAATTGATACTATATCAATATAAAAGCTACCTTAAGCCACACTATTCACAGAATTATAAAATAAAAAACATGGTTAAGCAGATTAAACTAGAAGAAGTAAATTACGGCGGTAGTTGGTGAAAGATGTGCTCCCATGTTAGCTATGGCCTATGGGTGTTCTTGATTGTTTGTTTTCTCGTTCTGTTGAATGATAGTATCTCCTCTAGTGTGTTGAATGATTAAAAAAAAATAGCCATTTCAAAAAAAACAAAAAGCAAAAAACGAAGCCAACATAATTAAAAGGATGTCTTGCTTGATTTAACCTTGTTATTTACTTATTTTTTGAACTTTGATTTGATGACTGCGTCCCACAAGACGAACATTGAATTAAGAACAGGGATACACACAAAATTTCTCCCACTGACTTTAATTAGCTTACACTTGCGTCAACCAAATGAATCGTCTGCACTAAAAGCATTACATAAAGTAATCATTTTGTATGTTAAAATTATTCTCTCCTTTAGTTTGCTGCTTTACGTTTAGGACTTCTAGACTCTCTCTAACACAGAATTAGGCTCTCTCCAGTTCATTTTTCCTGTCCAGGTATGGTAAATATATAATGCAAAGAGCCTCAGGAAAAAGATAACCCAAGGGCGATTCGTTCAACTTGTGTCAGCTTATCTTGGATCTCAGGTTCAATAGGATAGCGGTCATGAAATAAAAAAGATGACTGAACAAAGACAAAGAGGATAATAAACCTCGTTACAAGTCCCTGTAATTTTGTTTTCCTATTTTTCTCTTGATTTCAATTTGATGGTACAATCATGGTCATGTCCAAGATCAAGGAGCACCATCAATGGAAGGCGCAATTACAGTGTCGAACAGAAAATTGTAGAAGATAGTGAATAAAACTAGAGCAACTGCGGTATAACCCAGAAACGAGTCTGATATTTCGAACTCCTTTTCTCTCATATTCAAGCTACTCTTCACTCTCTCTGATTCTTCGAACTTCACCTCCGAGGCTGCACAATATAATAAAATCAATTACTGATTACAACTTCAATTTCCAATTCCCACGATCGTTAATTACGAATCGAACTCAGAAACAGAGATGAAGCTGGTTCAGAAGTTAATCTACGATATATAGAGAGTACCTCTGAGCTTAGGAGAAGAGACTTGCTTAGTGGAGAGAGACTGAAGCTGTTGGTCAAGCTTTTGGAGGGCTTCTCTGGCCTTATCTCTGTCTATCTCATATCCTTGTGACTCAGAATCTTCCTTTTCCTTCATCATTGCCTGAACTCTGCAACAAGAAGACGAAGACAAAGACGAAGAAGGGTTTCGGTTTAGCTTGAGGAGATTCAATTCCTTCAAATCGAATGGCCTGAACTTCTGAAATAGGAAGAGGGGTAGATGTTTATGGAAGCTCACAAGGTTCGTCGACGTCATTTCAACCTCCCCAGAAATCAGACTTGAAACCCAACGAAATATTTGGTAAGGATAATCCGACGCCTCCTCAAGTCCTAGATACACAGAGAGTGAGCGCATTTTGGTCATTTCATTGCAAAGATATTTATATTGTTAGCTTAACACGTCCAAATCATCCAAGAGACCATTGATTTTTGGTTTGTAATGACGTAATATAAATTATTATTAATATTGCGTTAAAAAATGTTAAACTTGTGAGAAATTGATATAAATTCTTTTTAATATTACGTAATATAAATTCCAGTGCAATATATAAATAGTAAGAAATTGATATTCTTTTTATAATTCACCTGACATAAAAAATAATTATTACTTTTTTTAATTTTATCTTTTCATAATTTTTTATGCATAGAATAAAACATTATATGTGAGGAAAAACAGGGGAGTAGAAAGTTATAATCATTGTAGGCAGCTATATTTATATTTATACCTCATTCAATTCTCTTCATTTTTATTATAACGTACATTTTATAAGATATTTTGGGTCTTTGAAATAAAATACTTTATGAGATATTAATTATGTATTTTTTAATATTATTCCTACTTAAATTAATTAATTAATTATGAGAAAGAATATACTATAAATTTGAAATTTTTTATTAAAATATGAGTTAAATTTAAAAGTTATTTTATTTTTTAAAGTTATTTTATTTTTTGATAAAATTAATGATTTAATTATTTTTTTTAAATTGGATAAAGCGATTAGAAGTGTTTTATAATATAAATATGAGTATTAATTTTTTGCTTTTCACAATGAAAACATATGTAAAACATTTTGAAAGGAGCATGCATGTGATTTACTAAAAAATTAAAGCATAAATCTTTTATTATTTTTTTGCAAAAGAAACATCATTCATTAAAATGGACTATAAGCATAAATCTTATCTTATTATCATAGTTCATGAATTTATGAATGATATAAATTTTTATAATTTTTTATGATATGCTATTATCAATTTTATTTTTTTAGATATACCATGGCCAAGAGAAAAATCCATTAGGTTAACAGTGGAAGGAAATGAAAAAAAATACAAAACTCGTGACCTTAACGTAAAAATAAAAAAGCAGAAGAGCGCGTATGCAAGCGAGAGAAGCTGTGAAGCTGAGATGAAGAAATCAGGAGTAGAGAAGAAGAGAGTGCGACGGTCTTCAGCAGCAACCCAGAATGGAGGCAGAGATCCCACCTCCGACACTCCTCCTAGGGTTATTACTCTTTCTCCCTTTGATCTGCGAATTTCTTCAGAAAATGCTTTGGTGAACTATTTTTACCTTGGTGTCTTCGGAGATTGAATTTTGGTAATATATGAATTGATCTAATCGCAATTTTTGAGGCCAGTTTGTTTTCCAGAATCAAAACAATGGTATTGGTACCACAGAACTAAAACATACAAGATCACGGTAGAATCTTGAAGATAAATTATAAGAAAAGAAAACTTTGTTTGCATATGCTAATTCTTCAAACACATTATTTACATGCCGCTTTATTTTTTCCAGTTACATTTATGTAATAAGACTATGTTTTCTATTATTTTTGTGGAAAAAGAAAAGAAAAACCATGGCCTTGTGAAAACTCATAGTTCAAGTTGAAATAAAGGGTTTTTAACTATGGATCTCATTTAATTATTAGATGGCTGCGGCCAAGAACTGTTAGTTATATAAAAGCTCAATATATATATATATTTGTATAGAAGTTGATAGATCTAGGCTTTATGTCAATCCCTGTGTTTGTGATATTTTGAAATTTTACCCCTGCTTCCTGGACCAATTTGCTGAACTAACCATGTGTAGATGTATTGTTTCCCCACCCCTTTCTGAACAAGTAAACGTGCTTCTCTTATTATATGATGACTCTGACATTGTTTTGATTTTAGAAACAAACTGCAAAGAAGGATGTGTTTCAGATGTTTGCTGAGAAGGTGAGAGACCATAAGGATTTGGTTTCTAGATGGGCTGTTCTACAGGAGACACGTGTTGAATATTTTAGAGGGAAGGATTTTGTGAGCTTCATGAAAAATCATCCGGAGCTCAAAGATATTCTAGAATCAGATAGGAATCTGGAAACAGAAGACATTGCTGACATTCTACTAAGTAAAAATCTCTTAGTGCGATGTGATCGTGTGGTAAAAATTGTTCGTCCTGGGAAGAAAAAATTATCAACTTGGCCTGCACATCTAGAAATCTTCCCTGTAAGTATTTTATTTTTGTTTGAATCTTCTTACTTTTCCCAAGTTTGAAGATGGAAACTTGATGATCAGAGCAACCATAGGCTTTCTTTTCTCTTTTCTTTTTCTATATTTGGATTATCTTGTATATCACACATCATATTGTTTGTTGTTGGAGTTCTGATTCATCATGCGTTTACATGAGGTCTATTTGTTATAATTTGTGCAAGCTGTATATGCTTAATGAGTTTTAAGGTATAAAAAGGGATATTAAATTAACCTTTGTCTACTTATAGAATTGGGGATTTTTTTAATCTTAGGGGAAAAAGAAGGGAACTCACACTCTTTGAACCTTAGATGAGATATCTATGTGTATTTTGAGTCATCCATAGATTGAATATATATATATATTTAATATAAAGACTGAAAATGTATATTTTATACTGATACAATCAGCATGTTAGGATGAAGTTTTCCACAACATACTTCTCTTTATGCTTTACTGTCTGTTAAGAAAGTGTTTCGATTTGGGTGTCTGAATCTAACAATATTTGACTGTCTTTGGCAGGAACAAGTATTTTCTGACAATGATGCTTTTTTTGCTTGGACATTTGTTAAACGTCGGCCACTTTGGCAGACACTCCTCTCTTTTTGCTGGCCTGTGTTGACATTGGCAATCTGCCTATTTCCCGTGTATCCACATAGCTGCAAGCTATTAATACTTTACTCATGTGCTGGAATCCTTCTGCTTATTCTCTCCTTGCTTTTGAGTAAGTTTTCTATTTTTTCTTCTTCTTTTTTTGATCATATTACCTTGAGCTTCTAATAACTTTTTGAGACTTGTATTGCCAACTTCCATTTATCAAAAAGACAATTTATTATGATGTTGCAGCATCACACCGTGGACAAGCACAGACTTGCTCCATGGCTGACACTTGCACATTGTCCATTTGTTTTGAGTTTGCTGTTCAAGCAATTCTGTTCCCATTTGGAGCTGTGCTGCCTCTTGGTAGTTGATGTCTTTTGAGAACCATCATTACCCTTTCTGAAAGGGCTGGTGGTGAGACGTGAATCTAATGTTTGCGTGCACACTCATGTATCAACTTCCATTTGGTCATTGCAATGGTTAGGTTAATGGTATCCTAGTTTGAACTTATTCATTAGAAGCTTACCCCTTAGAAAGGGGCGTCCTGTTAATATTTATTGATGCACTAAGCAGAAAACATGCTGATGTTTCGATGCTTTTTGCTGACCTGTGATCTTTCAGGTTTGCATTTTACTTAAACCTTTCCCTTTTTGTTTTTCTTCAACATGAATTTGAGAATATACTATAATATAATATTCTAGTTAAATGCATTTTAATCATTTACATTCTTATTGCACAGTTGCACTGAAGCTTCCCGGTTAGAACATTGATGATAATGTGAAATTTGCTTGATAACTGTTCTCCATTCTGCTCCAGTGGTTTCCCATGACTCATAAACAGTTATTTCAATCCTGCAGTAAGAGCTACAATATTTGGTGCTTTATATATTATTCTTGGAAAGCGGGTTTGGTTTTTCCCCAACATCCTGGCTGAAGAAGCAACACTGGCAGAGTTATTCAGATTTTGGCCCAAGAAAGATGAGGAGGAGCGACCAACATGGACAAAAAGGCTTTTCTATGCTATAGTAGCTGTGCTGGTCATATTTTTGCTCAGACATCATGCCCCTGATGAAGCAGCCAGAGCGAGGTGAGTCCTATATTAGTGTGTTATGGATGAACGAGAATCTTTCACTCTTTTGTAATTTAATCGTACTTCACCGAGCTCAAGTTCCTATTCCGTTGAGTGATAGACCCCCATAATTAGTGAGAGCTGTCCTAGGGAAAAAAATAGAGCTATTAGGGGGAATGGACCATAGGGATGACATGATTGGGCTGGGAAAGGCTTGTAGCAGAATCTTGAGGGATGCCTGTTATGTGGAGTCTGGTAGAGGGATCATGTGGGAGTTGGTTAGGCTGAAGATGATAAAAAGGATTTTGATATTATTGTGAGAGGTACTAGCGCCTGAAGAAATGTCTTTCACTTTTTTCTATTGTTTTCCTACCGTCATTGGGCTGTCCTGTGATCCATAAATGAGGAAAAATTCCTGATGGTCCTTCTACACATTGCAGATTTCTGCTCTTTGGAATTCTTGGTTTGATATTCGGCCTGTGCCTGTTATCTGAAGTTGATATTTTCTATCTGCAGGTACCAGAAGAGAGTATCAAACATCATTGACGATGTGCTTGATTGGTCTCCAAGATTAGCCTTGTCTGGGATGATGGAGAAGCAACAAAATGTGGTCAATGCCACGGGGTCTAGTGACAGTTCCTCACAAACGAGCAAAACAAGTCCAGAGCAAGCAAGTACTCCTGATGATGATGGTGCAAAAACTTTCTCAGAACAGTACGATTCTGAAGAAGTTATTATGGGGAACACGAGGGATGCAGGTGAAGAAGATAAACAGGATGACTAGTGGTAATTACATGTCTAAACTTTTTTCTTTCGGCCATAATTATATATCTAAACTTAATGTCTAGCAACTAGATCAGAATTTTATTGCTGTATTTTGAGTGCGAAACCATGTATCAAATAATGACAGTAAAGGCAGCTCTAGCTCTTCTTCAAATTGAATGTTTTTGTGAGCATAGTTTTTTCCCCCCATTTTTTTTTTCGAACGGACGCTGCATCATAATGCGGTTTATGTCTGATATTCACATTATATAGCTTTGCGTAAAGTCAGGCTAAGACTCGCAAACAATTGTCCATATCAAATCGTAGCGCGTGATTCTAAATTTTAGGTGAATTGTACTTGAACCCCGAAAGAGAAAATCTCAAGTTCACCATCTTCTACGAGTAATCTGAATTTCATTGGCCTACTATGGTGAAACTTTCTCCTCCTCGTTTCAAAGTCTTTTGACGTGTATGGCAATAAGGTGCAGATTTTTTTTTTTTTTTTTTACTTCAAAAATGATTGCACTTCATAATCCAGCTTCACATTTGGAAAAATAAGTAGTCGCAACTCACAGGAAAAGCTGTACATGAATTCATTTCCCTTATTCATTATATATATACATATATTAACATTTCTGGAGTACCTAAATCTTCTCGAGAGTGAAGCCCATGGCATGCAATGGATACTTTAGAGGGACGAGTTTCATTGTTGAAACAACTAAGAGTGTAAACTTTGCTTTCTGCTTGAAATCTCAAGGTCAACGATTTAAGGAACATTCTCCTCTCAAGGCAATTATTTCCTCGTCGGCCGAAAAGAAACGGAAATATTTCCTGAAAGATACTGTGTTGTAAACAAATTTGAAGCCAATTGAGCTAGAATATTGGAGTCGAATATTTGTCTCGAGAATTTTTCTAAGGCTCAGTTCCCTGATAAAATCTTTATAATCAATCTTCAACTTTGCGGGGTCAGGGCTGTCATTCAATTGGATCATACCATGGGGTCGAAAGTTTTGATAAAACCACCCGCCTATGAGATTACACAAGTTCGAAGAGAGATGATTACGTCAGACAGAGAGTTCCTAGATGACCGCGAAATTAATGCTCACCCATCCCAAATTATAAAGTAATATTGAAGGAGTTTTATTGTCTTAAAATATAAAATAGTTTAATAAAAATAAAATTTTAATAATAATTTTTTAATATTAATTGAGAATTGAAAATATTATAAATTTAAAATTATATTAAATAAAAGATATTTTTACAAATTTATATTTTTATTTACAAAATAAGTTTGTAAATTATCATTATTAAAAATTACTGGTATACATAATCTTACCTTAAAAAGTACCTGTACTAATTAGCTTGCTCATGCAAAATGCGATATGAAACCTCTTGTAGAATGTTTAGGTATTACGAGTTAATGGTCTGATCAATGAGGCCATGATATAAGTTGACCTTCGCTATTTTTTCCCTAGGTTTGTTGCCTCCTATTGTATTCTTAAAAAAAGTGTTGATTAGAACCAAATCGCAAGTGTCATACACAGCCCACTTTATTTGAATTTAAAGTTTTTTTTATATTTCAAACAATTATTTATTGACATTCTCATTTTCCTGTCCTTAAAACCCCGCTCTAGGGAAGGAAATTCTCAACTCTTGATCTAATCCTCCACACCATCTCCAGAATCATTTAGAGCAGACACGCTGTTTACAAGGACCAAAATCAAGTCATTAATGGAAAAAACCAAACGCAGCAGGTGAAATACTAATACACACACAAGCAACAAACAATTACTTAAAAGTGAAATTGACATTTAGGCTAACCCCCCTAAATGTAAATTCATAAATCACTAGTGTGGGATAAGGCTTCTTGTTGTACATTCATAAATCATAATGGCAGTAATCGACAGATATTTTGCAAACTAAATTTACCCAAGATCATGGAATCATAAAACACGAAAGCCAGTGGGTCTCAAGAAGCCTTCCATTCATGTCGATGCATATTACTAATGAAGGAAAATGGGAACTTAAACAGGTGTGGACAGGGAGAGAAATTGAGATCAACCCTATTGCATAATTAGTTGGGCAACCAAAACTAAAAATAAAACCCACAAAATCTGTCCGAACTCATACTATCATTCTATTATGAGTCAAGTAGCGTTAACCACCCGATGAGTTACACAACCTAGGCCCATCATCAAACCAGTGGAGGTAAATCAGTAGTTTTAAATTTCCCATGTCTTCTAACCAGGCCAAGCATCCCTCGGCTTGAGTTCACTAACGACTATCTCTGTACAAAAAAGCAAAAATGAGAAGAGAATGTAGGATTGATTGGCTTCAAAAGAAGTCACTGCCTACTCATATCATTCTTCTCCCCACATCATATCATCCATATCATCACAAACACAATAATAAAAGCCAAGAATGATTTGCCGCTTGGCATATAACTTGCCAAGGATGTTAACAGATAACCAAGGTACAGACTAGCTATTTCACTTGGATACAAACCCTACCTCGGCATCTATACCACAAGTACTGGGGTTCTACTGAATCGCAAGACGCCTCTGTGAAGTGTGTTCGGAAGAGATACTCCCCCGCTGTTGTCCTGAGCAGTCCCCTTCCTCCACTCTTTCACCTGAGTGCAAATGATAAGTGGAAGACTGCAAGCTACTACGATTATGATAAGGGCCACTATTGTTTGCATAGTTGTGTGCATCATATTGGTCAGAAAGTTTATATCCTCTAGCATCTTGTCGCACATTAGGAGAGTTCCAGGTTTCAGCAGACTCAGAGGGTAAAGGTTCAGAACCAGATGAACTAACTGATTGTGAAGATAACCTTGGACCAGATCCCACATCCTTTTCTTTGCCATCAATAGCATCATTTTTCTTTGCAAAACGTCCTCCGGTGCCCCTTGCCCTCCTCATCGCATGCTGATGCCGAGATTCATGAAGGTATGGCTGTGCAGGAAATGTTAGCAAAACCCAGAAAAGGATTCCAAATTGGCATGTACAGAATATTGTGCATAATAGTACACCTACTGCTACAACCAAAAACCATCACTAAATACTAAAATAAAAATTTTATTTTGTCTTATTCACATGACATGCACAAGCAAAGCCTAGCCTTAGCATTTGCTCACTAACATGATTTCCACACTGCCAACATCTGCAAGCTACTTTGTAAACCAGCACCTTTTAAAGGGCAAAGTAGTAGATTCGTCTCTTTCCATGGCTTTGTAGGATGTCATAAGAATATAAGTTATCCCAACCAGAGTTTCATCAAATGGTTCAAGGGGAAACAGCTTCTATATTCTCTTCAAAAACCATGGAGGTATTTTCAATATAAAAGTTACACAGGAAAAAGGAACAGTGCAGCAGGATAGGGAACGCATTTAATCAGAGAATATACAATGAAAGGAAAGAGCTAGGCTAGAGAAACAGAAGGTTAAACATGTAAAAGGGCAATATTGTTCTGCTGTTGATCCAACGTAGATACCCATTCAAAGAGGCCAGGAGATGAGCACCAATGAAAGTAATTAAAAACGTTTTATTGTAAGAGCCAAAATGTCATTTAACAATTTAGGTCGAGGAGCATTTTACACTCCTGATTCTAAAAATTACTAAGATCCAGAGATTAGTAAGTTTCCTATTTATTGTGCTTGAGGTCATGCATCTTTGGTAGATAACCTCATGCAAATAAGGTCTCCCCCTGTTGATACAGAGGAATATACTGGGAGAAGATTGCAAAGCCAGAAGATCAGGAACCTCCTAATGGTAAAACGACAGGAAAAAGAGAAGAAAAGAAAAGAAGGAAGGGGGAAAATAAAAGAGAAATTAAGGGACAAACAAAAGACATCTAAAATGAGCTATCTAGACACCTGAAAATGAAACTCTTTTGAATAAACCAAGAGCGCAAACTCACATAGGGGCTAGGGAATCTATCCTCCTGCCTCAGAGAAAATTCAAAACAAAAACTCCTAAGATAATTTTTTTCATTTTGCTCTGTTTAAGGACACCACAAGTGTCTAAAAGAGCATGACAGATTTTAAAATGATACAGACCTGATCAATAGGAGTTGGAATTTGTTTATGCTGTCATGAAAATATTTAGGTCAGCAGAAAAGAAGTAGTTTAACCATCAGCATAGGGGGAACAAATCTCACATAAATTTGATAAAGCAGCACTCAAGAACAGGAGAAAAGAGCAGCATATAGAGCCCAAGCAAATCATCTTCACATGTGCATAAGCATTTTACCTTTCTAACTTTTATCAACTTCTTTTCAAGCTCTGCCTTTGCACGTGCCTGTCTACGCCTAAGAATGGCCGGGTATTGTTTTGCATTTACATAAACAGGTTCTTGTGCCATCTCAAGGGGCAAAGGCATTCTGGCCTGTGGCATTCCCATAAAAGGAGGATATCCCTGATGATAGTAAAAAAATTAGTTATTGGTTTCACTTTTATAAAAATACTAGCATTGTTTTAAATAAGAAACCATACTATAGACAGCATGGAGATATATGGCATATGACAAGAGCCCTCCATCAGGATTATGCAAAAGCTAAATTACTAATTAGACTAATCTATCCGAAACAGGAATCAGTAAGAGTGTGATGACCTTCGTGCACAATAATCTTTTATCATGTATGAACAGAGAATAGCCTCACATACCAGCTGGTGAGGTCCATAAGCCGCCATCATTCCCGCAAAATAGGGATCCTGATAAGGATGTGAAGCACACGCCTGCAACAGAAGAATAGTAAGGATACTAAAAATCGCGTCATTCCAAAAGTAGACAACTCAAAAATTTCCCTTTAAACATAAGCAAGAGTTCCCATAATTTAATGTCATTCAATAAACCGTAAACTATAATTCCTTTTTTTTTCCCCAACTCACAATTGAATGTCCAACAAGTTCGAGCTGTGGAGCCTGTGTAAAGCATTCATCTCGCATGGATGGTGCAGACGATGAAGTATGCTGCATCCCTTGGTGTTCTTGAACGTAATTTCCTACCCAGGAACCAATATGGAATTTCAGTATCCCCTGTAGCTTATAATGCTTGATAAATTTATTTACTATAACATAACGCACCTGATTGATTAGGAGCAGCAGCTGGAGATTCTTTAGTGGCATCATCATCTTCCTCATTCAACCCACTATTGGACAAAGATTGACCATCATTTGATTCAGAATCAGCATTAGGGCATTCCAGCGAGGATGAATTCGATGCATTTGCCCCAGCCATTGCTTGGGACATAGGATTGTATCCAACGCCACGCCACCAAGGAGGCTCGGAATAAACATTGTTTGGTGGAAAAGAATGTGGATCAGTCCTCAGTCGATTTGCAGTTTCAGACTTGGACTGCATATTTTAAGATCCCTGCAAAACAAAATTAGAAAAGTAGATTTCATACCCATGCTAACAAAGACAAGTTAATTCAAAGTCAACAAATCAGCCGAAAATGTTCCTTTACAATAAGAGACTTGTATCATGTCTTCATGCACCAGAACCATTAGTTGCCACTTAATTAGAGTAGCTACACCATCACTATTTCTCAGGGTTTTCAAATATTATCTAATTAGTTGCAATGAATTGCTGGCAACACTCTCCACACAATTATCTAAGTTATCATAAAGCAAACGAATTATCAAAGATCAACAGAATTTTACGAAACTCAACTCGTTTTCCTTTGGAATTTTCTTGATCTTCTGCTGTACCTGTAAGTGTTCTAAGAACACAGCTTTCAATCTTGGCCAACAGCCAGATTTTTTGTTTTTTTTCCGCCAACAACGCCCAGATATTAATATCGACTGGAATATAAAAATGCAAGCACTGCTACATTTATTTTGTCAATCTAGTCTGAACCAAACGGAACCAGGAAAAAGTACCAACATGCAAATGGAGCTGCCGGAAATAGAGGCAGGATAACCAAACCAAACACAAGCTACTAGACTATAATTGATGGAATTTTGACAAACTTGCAAGTCTAACCAATCTCAATAATAGCTTCAAGAACCCAATTCTCCCCATTCCACATTCGTAACCAATTTCATCACATAATGGAAATTCCCACATGCAGCAATCAAATTGATTTCCATGATTCCACATCAGAATTCCCAAAGAACCACCATGCAGTCGCAGAATTATTCGATTGAGACTGAAACTAAAACCACCTCAACAAGTATAACACGAGAAAACCCCAGAATTCTTCCCACCTCCCAAAAACCCTAATCATCAAGAGCCCCGCACCGTAATCAATGTCTCACCCGATCAAATCCCCAACTTAAGAAGAAACAATTGAGCAAATCAAAGAACTTACCCGCGAAAACCAGAGGAAAAAAATAAAAACCCTAAGGTGTTGGGTCTTCAGAACAAGATAGACCATTCAAGGGTCAATCTGACTTCTCTCACAGTTCTAAATGAAGCACAGGAAATGAAGAAAGTATTAATATTGATAATAATAATGTTATTATTATTGATAAAATAAAAAATGACATTCCCAAGTCCCCTCCCCCTAAGGCCTAAAGTGCCTTTCCTATTTAGAATTTCCAGCGTGAAGGCGTCATCCGAATGTGGGTCCATTGGGTTTGTGACGGGGACACGTGGTGCGTGTTTGCACGGGCAACTGGCTGAGCTGGTATGCGAGTCGAGTCTACGTGTCTACAAGCTTTTTACTGATATTTTACTTTATTCATAGTAACTAAAAAATGCCTACAGGGATTAAATGAAAAAATATTGCAAAAAAATGATAAAAAACAATTAATTAAAAAAATTAATTATAGGCCCCACGGCATTGTTAAAATCACTATTCCATGAACAATATTTTTATATTTTATTATAGATATGATATGATGATGACAGGCAAAATAACAAATAAATTTTATTGCAAATGACAAAAGAATACCATAATTGGATAACTGTTTTCCCAAAGACTTAAAACATGACCTTTTTTATGTGAAGTGATGTTTTTGACACTCTATAAATTAATATAAAATATAATTATTAAAATTTAAGCTGAGATTGTTGACAATAAAAGTATTATTGTTAATATAAAAAGTTTAATAACTACTTCCATTTAAAAATATAAGATATTTTTTGAAGAATTGAATATTAAAAAATATAAGGTATTTTTAGTCTTTTGAGATATAATCATTATCTTTTTTTCAAAAGTGTCCTTCTTAATAGTGACTTTATATTTAGTATAAGATATTTAATAGAGATAAATATAAAAATATAAGGTTAATTTGAAAGTAGATAACTATTTTATTAAGAAATGAGATTTTGTAAAAAATGTTTTATATTTTTATAAAGAGAGAATATTATATTACTGTATTAAAGTTATGAATATTTGTGTTGTTAATACTTAAATTGAAGTTGTTAATCACTAAACTAAAGTTGTGAAGATATCGTATGACTAAACTAATAATTATGTTTTCTATATTAATAATTTTATTTTTATTATTATAATTATATGTTTTATTATTTCATAGAAAAATATATCTGTAGATCCTCACAGTTTCACTTAATTTTGAATTAGGTCCTACAATTTATTTTGTTTTAATTGAACCCTTATAGTTTGATTTATCATACTTCTTCATTAAAAAATATAAGACATTTGTAACTAAATCTTACCTCTAATAAAATAGTTACTTGTTTTTAAATTAACCTTATTTTTTATATTTATTTTTATTTAATAAGGTGTTTTATCCTCAAATAAAGAAAAAGTAATTTATTTAATAGGGGTACTTTAAAAAAAAAGACAATGATTATATCATGAAATACTAAACATGATTTATAGTTTTTAACATCTAACTCTCAAAAAATATCTTATATTTTTAATAAAGAGAGTATATTTTAACCCTTGAAGGTTAAAATTAATAATAAATTATTAATTTTTAAAAATAAAAATACTCTTAAAGTTTACAGAAAATTCAATTTAATATTTTTAGCCAAAATTAAAAAAAGAAAATTTGATTTAATTTACTGTTCAGATTTTATTAATTTTTTTAAAAAAAATTCTATATGTATAAAAAATATTTAGAAGACAACCTAATTATATAAATTTGAATAATAAAAATTATGTAATTAATTCTAAAATTACATAATCATCTAATAAGAATATAAAAGTTTTAAATTTTGTTTTTTAAGAAAAAACCTAAGGACTTTAACTTTTAAGGATTGTAAAAATTTAATTGATCAAACTATGAGGATTCAATTAAATTAAAATTAATTATAATTTTTAATTTAAAATTGAGTAAAATTATAAGAAGCTGCAAATATATTTTTTTATTTTATTTAGGATAGAAAACATAATTTTGTAAAAAAAATATATCAGGTAAGTTACTAAAAAATTTGGAATAATTATTCCATTTTGTAAGATTCTTGTATGATTTGCATGAGATTTATTTGTAAAAATATCATACACGTGCTTTTAAATGTTCACATCTCTTTGTTAGTGGAAAAAAAATGCACAAAAAAATAGTAAAAAGAAAAAAAGTGCATCAAAGTCATGATGAGGGAAAGAGCGACCGGCGAGATCAGGTTGCCAGTGGAGTGATGACTGACGAAAGAAAAGTCCAAAGGAAACAAACAAAATTTCTGGCCCACATGACACGCACTTGACTATCAGGAAACCGGGAAACGCGTGGCCTTCAAGTGGGGACCACACCGTCGTAACATTGACAGCAACGTCAGCCACGTGTCTCTCAAGCATCTCAAACCCAGTCTTCAACTGTTTTTTTTTCCCCTTTTAATTTTATTTTAAAAAGTTTTCTCGGAATAATTATGAATTCCCCACCACTAGAAGTAAAGTCAGGCTAAGTTGGTAAAAATAATAATAAAATAAACCAAATTTAGTACGGTGAACAATAATTGAATAAAACCCAAAAAAAAAAAAAAATCAACCAATGCGGCTTAATTTGAACTTCATACATGAGCTCACTCTATTTTTAAATATAAAACACTAAAATATCCTCCCTCCCTTAAAAGTGGAGACTAATTATTTCAGTGCTATGGAGTATTTATTAAGAGTTTACTTAGCCTAGTTAAATGTGTTCCACAGACAAATACTAAACATTAGATCCATCAACCACATCCTTAACATACAAAAATTTTTCCTAGGCAGGTCAGTCTAATTTGCAAGCTCATCCTAATTATAAATTATATATTATATATAAATATGCAGTTGTGGGCAATGTTGACGTCACATGCTAACGGGGTGGCATTGTCATGGCAAATAGAGAGTGAAGCAGAAGCGATGGACCTTTTCTTTGTCTAATTAATAATTATTAATTGATAAGTCTGGATAATTGGTGATACCTTAATGGATAGGGAATCTGGATTCGTTACTTTTTTTTTAAATCAAGCAGGTTTAATTAAGAATTGTACAACGTGGTAGCACTATTACCATGCTGTTCCTCATCATGTTTGTCGGCCTTTTTTGTTTCATTGATTCTCCTATTTGTGAGATTTCTTATTTTCACAATGTTTATCTTAAATGTACACACAATTCATCAACGAAAAAAAGTTCAATAACAAGACCGTAAATACATAGTTTTATTTTGAATTAAACCATAAATTTCATCAATGGCACCTTGGAATTCAGCTAGCCAAACATTGGAATCTGGATGATTCGATGACCATGGCCGATCCAAAGTCCAGTGAATTAGACATTGAACCTAGTTTTTTATTTAGAAAAGTATTTAATTTAAAGCCTTTTTTATTTGCGTAGCATTTGATATTCAATACTAATTTCATGACCTAAAAAAGGAAAATTGATAATTGTCTTCAATTGTGGAAAGCTAGGTTGTTTTCTCAACCAGAGAGTTTAACCTTAACTGAATCAACTCTAAATTCTTTATTGGTTTATCCCCTATCGCCTTCCTAAATCCTTTTGTCGCAGCCTTGCAATGAAAATTACTATTTTTTTTCTTGAAACCATGGTGGGAACACCAATTCTGTACACTTGAAATTTCAAAGATTAAATTGCATAAGATAAAATTCAGGAATTGATTGACAACCGAATCAAAACTTTAAGAACTGAATTATAATAAGTTAAAGTTGAGGAATTAAGTTATAACTGAATCAAAACTACAATAATCAAATGATTAATTTTTTTTTGGCTAAAACTACTTGGCGAGTGATAGATAGACTGGATTCCTTATCGGGGGAGGTTTTTAGGATTAAATATCTTCAAGATGAAGATAATTTGATCTTCTGTTTTAAATCCACTGCCTCTCTTACTTAGAAAAATATCTAATCAGAACAATTTTTCTTGCGATGGTTCAATTTGGACTTCTTTTATTGCTAATCAGAATTGGATATCATCTCTATCAACATTACCGCTGATTGTTTTTCTTTCTAAGTCCTCTTACTTTCCTATAATTCTAGGATCTCAATGATTATCGTTTAGAATTTATATTTTGCAAAAGGATATCAGGGCTTTGCTCCCAATATTCTCCATCAACTCATTAATTTTAATATAATTTACTTATTTACTAAAAAAAATTCCATACCATTGTATTAAACTGAACATTTTGCTACTTAGGATTAAATCCAAGCATTGACAAGCTTTAATAGAGGATAACTTTTTCAAAAGCATTTTTGACATTTAGAACCCAGTTTTCATTTGTTTCGTATTTTTATTCCCCAATTTCATCATAAAGGATGAACACAAATGGCACACAATATATTCTAAAATGATACTATGCATGTTTGGATTGGTGAAGCTTTAAATTTGAATTTAGTTCAAGTCCTTCCTTTGAATATAGAGAAATTTGTGAATTTGAAATTCATTCAAATGCAAATCTATTTTTGTTATAATTTTTGTATAATTTTAAATTCACTTCACACTTTAGTAAGTTGAAATTTCAATTATTTTAAGCATTCCATTCTCTTCGTGTATTATTATTTAGGCCTCTATAACTCTCACACCTATTTTTATGCATTGTTTTTATATCTTATCAATTGAAAAATATAAGTAAATTTATTACTTTTAATTTTTTACTCTAGTTTCAAATACCAACTCATATATCTTCAATTCATTTGAAATTTTTAAACATATTCAAATAAAAAATTTAAAATACTTGAGCTTAAAATGTGAGATTTTAAATTTAGAATTTAAATTCAAAATCACAAATCCAAACATTCTCTTAACTTACATTCTTTGCTGGGATAGTAGAGTTGATGATTAGGAAGTCCGCATGGATTGACTTCAATTTGTGAATAAAATTGACTGTTTTAAAGAAAAGTGACCACAATTATACACATTTTGTAGCAAAAAGGTCTAATTT